GCAGGCAGCCTGCCAGTGGTGGACACCAACTTCCAAAGATGCAGCAACATCAAACAACCCAATTCCTAGAAACTTGGAAAAGGAGTAGTTTACATACATACCAGGCTGTCTCTGAGCACACAGGGTGAACTTTTGGTCCAATGTAGGGCCCATAGAGTGTTATGGTCACAACTCAAAGGAAAGCCTTCCTTTGCCTTTAGAGCAGAGTTAGAATGGAGATACCCAGTGATCACTTCTGTATCAGTTAGCTTTTGCTGCATAACATGCTACCCCAGAATTTAGTGGCTTCAAACAACCACCTCTTAATTTAGTTCATGATTCTGTGGGTTGGTTGGAAAGTTTCTTCCGTCTACACTAGCTTTGTGGATTTTTGATTATTTTGCTTCTGCCTTTGTGGTAAGCTTCTGCCTTTGTGGTAAGCTGACAGCTCACCTGGAGGCTGGATCCTATGGGATGGCCTCACTCTTATGTCTGTCAGCTGGAGTTGTGTGACTGTCTGTTAGGGTGCCTGAGTTTTCCACCTCAAAGGCTTTCACTATCCAGCAGGCCACTGTGGGCTGTGGCACATAATGGTACATGTACGGGGTTTCCAAGAGCAGGAAGAAAGCAAGCTCCAACGTGCAAGTGCTTTTCAAGCCTCTTCTATGGCACAAAACAAGTCGTGTGGGCAAGCCAGCTATTCCAGGAGTGGAAAAATAGACTCTCTCTCTGAACAGAAGGCTATGAAACATCACACTGTCAGGATGTGGATGCAGGAAAGGGAAGAATTAAAACCTACCACACCTTCCGAGATGAAGATGGGAACTTACCAGATCTCATTTCTTTAAGCCAGAAAGTTCGATAGGAAGAAAGTAAAAACTGATAGAACACAAAGGAGTATGTTTTTGCTACTTACAGTTGGAAGCAGTCTTGAAAGCCTAACTTCCATCTATGTTTGAGTATTCTCCGTATCATTCTGACCATCTTACAGACGCAGAAGTAAGATGCAGAAGTAAGATGACTTCTTACAGCCTCACAAAGTATGGCCCGTTTCATTGCTGCTCAGCTTTGTTAGTAAGAAATTTCTGTCTTGCCGGGCGCAGTGGCGCAGGCCTGTAACCCCAATGCTTTGGGAAGCCGAGGCAGGC